GAAGAAATTATCAATGAATAAACACAGACATATGCGGGTAATTCTTCAACTACGGGCACTTTTATATCCTGTGATCATATATCCAAATATATATCATTTTGTTCAAATTCCTCTTTCTTTGTCAAACTAACAATAAAACCTACTTTTAAAAAAACATTACATCTTTTTATTAGATATATTTTCATATTATTCAACTCCCTTTTAGGTGTCAAAATCACCATTTTCATCTGTCACACCCAGAGTTTTAAACTTCAACAGTGAAAATACCATTTAAAAATATTATTTATCTGGTATCTATTAATGTATCTTAATTAAGCAGTAGTGAAATTTAATTTAAATGTTTTATACCTATTAATGAGAGACTATTATCAATATTATTTTTAATGCACAATATAGCTGTCGTACAGTATCAGTGTCTTTTTCACCACATTGTAATGTTGCTTTAAAAAGTTTGTGAGATTATTTAGGTGGTTTCAATGAAAATTAATAGTGCCATCTGAGAACATCTTCAAGATGGAGGGAATTTAACTTTTTATCAACAACACGAAGAAAAATCAAGGTAAATATTACTTGATAAGGAAATATATTTATTCTGCGTCATTTGCAAGCATGTTGTACCTTCAAAGATGTTTTAAAAAAACCAAACTAAATGAAGGTAAATAATAGTGTTGGTAACAATTTACAATAAGGTTCATTAGTTAATGCATTTACTAACATGAACTAATCATGAACAACACATGTACAGCATTTATTAATCATAATTAAACATTTACTAATGCATTATTAACATCCAAGTCCATGCTTGTGAACATTAGTTAATGCACCTTGAGTTAACATGAACTAACAATGAACTACTGTATTTTCATTAACGTTAACTAACATGAACAATTACAGTAGTAAATGTATTGTTCATTGTTTGTTCATGTTAGTAAATGCATTAATTAACATTAACTAATGAACCTTATTGTAAAGTGTGACCAGTGTTTGTGTACATGAAAGGCTAGTATCAATCAGTGAAGCTATTTTTCATTTTTCCACAATAAACTGTTGAAATGTCATTTCCACCTCTGTTATTTTCATCACCACACACATTTCTAAAAAATATTTAAAAAGTTTTCATGACACATTAAAAGTGTATTTACAATCTATAAGTTCATGCTCCATTTAATATACAAATTTAGTTTATTTATTTTCTAATAAGCTCTTAACCAGATTAATATTAAATGTTTGAGTGTGACAGGTGTACAATTCAGCCAACAACTAATTTATTTCATTGACAAATGTAATATTATTGTATATATTGTGGAAAGATTAGTTAAACTAGAAACAAAAATGATCTTAGACAATGTTTTACTGCCATAATTTAATTCATTTTGAAATAAAAGCTGTATATTGAGATGTGGCGGAATTGATATTTGTTCAGTTCATTCATTAATTTTCTTGTCGGCTTAGTCCCTTTATTAATCCGGGGTCGCCACAGTGGAATGAACCACCAACTTATCCAGCATGTTTTTTTACACAGCGCATGCCTTTCCAGCCGCAGCCCATCTCTGGGAAACATCCACACACTCATACACTACAGACAATTTAGCCTACCCAATTCACCTGTACCGCATGTCTTTGGACTGTTGGGGAAACCGGAGCACCCGGAGGAAACCCACGCGAACGCAGGGAGAGCATGCAAACTCCACACAGAAACGCCAACTGACCCAGCCGAGGCTCAAACCAGCGACCTTCTTGCTGTGAGGCGACAGCACTATCATGTACCGTATGTACAGTCACGTACCGTGGTTCAATGTGGCATGTGGGCCAAGCAAAAGCTGATTGTGTTGGCCAGAGCTAGGCCAGAGATATTTTGCTATGTGGGATGTCTTAACTCGACTTCTCTTTAGTTCCATTAAGACCCTAATTGGATTATTTAATCAAAAATTGCTGTTTACATGGGTAACTCCTAATCAGAGTATTGTCTTAATCGCATTGAAATCGAATGATCGTGTCCATGTAAACTGATTGGCCCTCCAGGAGAGTTTGGACATCCCTGAAGTAGACAAATAACCAACTTCTCTGAGGCTTTCAATTCTATAAAGCACCGCACGAGCATCATCAAAGCTCAACTTCCATATGAATTGAAAAGCTGGCTCCACTGCACACTACGTGCCAGTGGAAACCTATGATGGAAACTCAGCATTAGACTTGTGTGATCTCTGACCTTCTGTATATAAATAGCCCTCTGACGTGTCAAGAGTATCACACTGTAAGTCACAGAATTGTTAAAATTCACACAAATCCTCAACGTAACCTGCCTATAGGCCTGTATAATGTGTGTACAATTGAACGTATGGACTTTTATGTAAAAACAAAGAGCTTTCAGATATCAAAGTTTAATCGTCTTAAGCGCTGCTGGTGCTGACAGGGATCCTCGTGTGAATGTTTAGTATTCTGCACCATGTTTCAAACAAACCTGCAGTAAAGAACAGCACAGTCTGAGGGATCATTATATAAACTGTGGTTTCTGAAGTCCACCTTTAGACACATAGACAGCAGTCACAATCTGAGTTCATCAAAACATACACTAGAATTTTGTTTAGTATTATACACTCATGGCCACATTATTAGGTACACCTTACTAGTACTGTGTTGGACCCCCCCTTGCCTTCAGAACTGCCTTAATCCTTCGTGGCATAGATTCAACAAGGTACTGGAAATATTCCTCAGAGATTATTGACATGATAGCATCGCGCAGTTGCTGCAGATTTGTCGGCTGCACATCCATGATGTGAATCTCCCCGTTCCACCACATCCCAAAGGAGCTCTATTGGATTGAACTCTGGTGACTGTGGAGGCCATTTGAGTACAGTGAGCTCATTGTCATGTTCAGGAAACCAGTCTGAGATGATTTGCGCTTTATGACATGGTGCGTTATCCTGATGGAATTACCCATCAGAAGACGGCACACTGTGGTCATAAAGGGATGGACATGGTCAGCAACAATACTCAGGTAGGCTGTGGCGGTGACACAATGCTTAATTGGTACTAATGGGCCCAAAGTGGGCCAATAAAATACCCCCCACACCATTACACCACCAGCAGCAGCCTTAACTGTTGATACAAGGCAGGATGAATCCATGCTTTCATGTTGTTGATGCCAAATTCTGACCCTACCATCCGAATGTTCTGCAGAAATCGAGACTCATCAGACCAGACAACGTTTCTCCAATCTTCTATTGTCCAATTTTGGTGAGCCTGTGTGAATTGAAGCCTCAGTTTCCTGTTCTTAGCTGACAGGAGCGGCACTCGGTTTGGTCTTCTGCTGCTGTTGCCCATCTGCCTCAAGGTTAGACAAGTTGTATATTCAGAGATGCTCTTCTGCAGACCTTAGTTGTAATGAGTAGTTATTTGAGTTACTGTTAGCTTTCTATCAGCTCAAATCTGGGCATTCTTCTCTGACCTCTGGCATCAACAAGGCACTTGCGCCCACAGAACTGCCGCTCACTGGATATTTTCTCTTTGTCGGATCATTTTCTGTAAACTCTAGAGATGGTTGTGAGATGTCTACATGCATAAATGCGTTGAGTTGCTTCCTTGTAATTGTCTGATTAGAAATTTGCATTAAGGAGCAGTTTAACAGCCTAATGAAGTGGCCTGTGAGTGTATTAATGTTATTGCACATGAAGAGTTTAGATGAAAAAAACTCTAAATGGCATGTGATAGTTTTTTTATTTCCCTAAAATTTGCATTTTTCTCCTTCTCTTGTGTGTAGACCCAGTTTATAGTGATGAATAAATTATTTTCATTGCCTTTAAAGTGAAATAACTGAACATTAACATATAAGGCTGAAAAATAATATCTTTTAAAGGAGAAAAATTCAGACAGCATTTATACAGCAGGTTTTTGCATGTGAACGCTTCACATGTTGTGGATAGATGTGGGAAAATGTAAGATTATTTACAATCTTGTGTTTTTAATTACCTGAATACAAAGGTTTGAAAAAAAAAAAAGTAGTTGCTATTATTAATTTATTTTCCTTCGGCGTAGTGCATTTATTCATCAGGAGTCGCCACAGCGGAATGAACCGTCAACTTATCCAGCATGTGTTTTTCACAGTGGATACCCTTTAAGTTGCAACCCATTACTAGTAAACACCAATACCCTCTCACATTCATGCTCACACATTACAGCCAATTTAGTTTATTCAATTCACCTATAGCGCATGTCTTTGGACTGTGGGGGAAACCGGAGCACCCTGAGGAAACCCACGCCAACACGAGGAGAACATGCAAACTCCACACAGAAATGCCAACTGGCTCAGCCAGGACTCGAACCATTGACCTTCTTGCGATGAGGTGACTGTGCTAACCACTGAGCCATCGTGTCGCCCCAAATATTTTATTATTTTTTTAAATAATAGACTTAGACTTATAGACTTGCAATCTTGTAAGCTTGGGAATGTATTTTCTTGACCCTAAACATGAGTTTGCATGTTCTCCACGTGTTTGCGTGACTTTAACTAAATTGGCTGTCGAGTGTGTGTGTGTGTGAATGTGTGTATGGGTGTTTTCTAGTTTTGGGTTGCAGCCAGAAGGGCATCCACTGTGTAAAACAAATGCCGGAATAGTTGGCGGTTCATTCAGCAGTGGCGACCACTTATAAATAAGGGACTGAGCCAAAGGAAAATGAATGAATTACATTCAAATGAGATCAAATTTACATTAATAAATGCTAAAATTGAAATGTCTTGAACCTTATAGTTACAAAATATATTTAGTTTATAGTCTATATTTAAAATGCATTTTCAGCTGAGTAGTTTTTAAAGAATCAATGGTAATGACAATCTGCCATGAGGATAATTTCTCTGATAATATTTAAACAATCAAGATTTCTGTCATTCAGTGCATAAATGAAATAGTGCTTTTTATTTAATTCATCAAAAAGGTTTTCAAATATCTCTGAATTGTTTTGTTTACTCATGCACTGAATAATTTTGTTTTCTCACGCAGTGATACTAAGGAAACATTTATTAAACCAAAAACAAAAAAGCCATGAAAGAAATGAGCTTTTATCTACAATCCACTGTAAGAAACTGTAAAACAAAGGCAATATATCATTAAAACAGAGGTATTTCACAGATCTGAAACTGTATAACAGTTTTGGCTAAGAAACTGTGCATTTATATTTACAAACAAAACGTTTTTCTACATTTTTTACTAATTTCGGTAACGCTTTCTTTTACAACCAACAAAGAACAGTACTTTTCTGTAAGTATAGTACCCAGGCATTTCAGTTTGTTCCCTTATACCTACACATACGTTCTTTAGACATACTCAGTGGTGTGAAGTAACTAATACTCAAACTACTGTAATTGAGTAGTTTTTCTCAGAAATTGTAAATTACTAAGTAGTTTTAAAAATGTGTACTTTTATTTTCCCTTGAGTACTTTTTAGTGCAGTATTAATACTTTTACTCCACTACTTTCCTTCAACCTGCAGTCACTACTTTAATTCTTTCTTGTCCTTGGTGATTGGCTAAAGTAGAGAAATCAGTCCTGTGATTCCTGTCTGATCAATAAAAAGTAAATCACATGATACTGAACATCAACACATGGGCGCTTTATAAATGCAGCAAACATTTTAGAAGCATTAAAAATGTCCAAGAAGATGATCAAAATATTTACACACATTGACGCACAGTCTTTTAAAAGACTGGATATCACTGATAAGAAAATAGATGTTGACTGTAAAAAAAAAAGTGATTTTTTAAACACTCACTAAATGGAACGAATGAAAAATGGAAGGACCGAACAAATAAAGGACTGAACTAATGAAGGAAGGAAGGACCAAATGAATGAAGGAAGGATTCAAGGAAGGACTGAACAAACTAAGGAAGGAAGAAATGAACGAATGTACAAATGAATGAACAAAGGACCTAATGAGGGAAGGAACAACATTATGAACAAAAGAACGAATGAATGAGCGAACAAATGAAGGTAGGAATGAAATAAGGGCCAAAGGAATGAAGGAAGGAATGAACAAACGAATAAAGGAAGGACAGAACAAAGGACATTATGATGGAAGGAACAAAAATTATGAACGAAAGAACAAACGAATGAGCGAACAAACGTAGGACCAAAGGAAGGGCCAAAGGAATGGAGGAAGGAATGAACAAACAAATAAAGGAAGAACAGAACAAAGTACCTAATGAAGAAAGATACACAAATGTAAACGAACGAACAAACAAATGAGCAACTGAACGAAGTAAGGATTCAAGGAAGAACTGAACAAACTAAAAAGGAATGAACAAAGGACCTAATGAAGGGAGGAACAAAAATATGAAGAAATGAATAAATGATGGGAGGAACAAAGGAAGGACCCAATGAATGAAGGATGAAATGAACAAATGAAGGTATGAAAGAAGGACAGAACAAACAAACAATGGAAGAAAGTTGGATGGAACAAACGAATATAGGAAGATTGCTAAATGCACTACAGAATGTTACGTTTTCACATCCCTGCACAAACTTCATGTAAATGCAAAGCAACTTTTTAATAACCACTACTCTTGAGTACTTTTGAAAGACCCACTATTTACCCATACTTTTACTCGACTTGCACTACATTGTTGGGCAAGTAACGGTACTTTTACTTGAATATAATTTTTCAGTACTTATTCCACCACAGCTTATACTATACTTACAGAAAAGTACACTGGTATTTCACTGTACTTACACCGTACTTAGTGGGTTGTAAAAGAAAAGCGTTACTCTAATTTCATCATCTGAAATCATTTTTTTTTAACTAATTTGCAAACATGTAGAAATTCCAAAATAAACAACAAATCAGAATAAAACAAAATAAAAAAATCATCAACAATAAAAGTGACTTGTTCACGAGACAGTAACAGTAGTTTGATCAGTGTCTTTTCCTATAGGAGCTGGTTTATAAATGACATCTTGCTTGGAGTCTTTTTTGAACCTGTAAAAGTAAAAGTGAGAGAGAAACATGAGTTGTTTTGTGCGACTGCTTTGCTTTCCAGAAATACAGTCAGACTGACCGTTGATGAATGATGAACATACTTTGAGTACTTTTTGTGCTGTCGATACGTGTAAATGGAGAAGATCAGGAACGTGGCGGCAAACAGAACACCGAAGGTCACTGCCAGAATGTGCCCTGTTAAAGATGGATGAGCTTCAGAAACACAATGTTCATGTTACTAAAACTAAACTGTATTGTGAAGTTATTATAGTAGTTCGTTGTAAATACTATTGTGTTTTTGAACCATAATATAGTCAAATGCTTGAATTATTCTGCTGCATCACTATGAGAATACAACAACTATAATATAAACAAATTACCCAGTACTGAAGTCTTTCAACAACTATAAGGTGCAATATATTACAACACCTAAAGTAAACCTAAAGTACACTACAGTATTTATCACAGTTTATCAGTTCAGTTAATACTACATTATGCTGTAGTGTACAGTTGAAGTCGGAATTATTAGCCCCCCTTTGAATGTTTCTTTCTGTTTTAAATATTTCCCAAATGGTGTTTAACAGAGCAAGGAAATTTTCACAGTATGTCTGATAATATTTTTTCTTCTGGAAAAAGTCTTACTTGTTTTATTTCAGCTAGAATAAAAGCAGTTTTTTGTTTATTTTTTAAAAAATATTTTAAGGACAATATTATTAGCTCATTTAAGCTATGTTTTTTTCATTAGTCTACAGAACAAACCATCGAAATGCAATAACTTGTCTAATTACCCTAACCTGCCTAGTTAACCTAATTAACCTAGTTAAGCCTTTAAATGTCACTTTAAGCTGTATAGAAGTGTCTTGAAAAATATCTAGTAAAATGTTATTTACTTTCATCATGGTAAAGATAAAATATATCAGTTATTAGAAATGAGTTATTAAAACTATTATGTTGACAAATTTGTTGAAAAAAATCTTCTCTCTGTAAACAGAAATTGGGGGAAAATTAAACAAGCGGTCTAATAATTTAGGGGGGCTAATAATTCTGACTTCAACTGTATATAACCAATGGCCATAGACTGACTCCATAAAATATTCCTTTAAGTTCAATAACAAACGTCTTTCATTCTTTTATCCCCACAGATTCTGGGCACAATATTAATACCTACATCCACAATATTTCTTGCACAATGCAATGTTTATCCTTAAAACCCTAATAATTGTGACTTCAACTGAATACAGCATTTATAGCCTAAAGCAGCAAATAACATAAACTCGAGACAGTCAGCTAGAGACCATTTATATGATGTCAATCATAATCTTATAACATTTAGACAAAGACGTTTGAAATTCCAAAATCTATTTTATGTTATATTATGTTTATGTTATTATACATTAAAAATACTGTTAAAACTATTCGAATGATTATATTTAAATTTAGCTTAGTTACTTTAGTGAAAATGTATTGACTAATTAAAAAGTAATTCATTGTAAATACTACAAAGTATTTGATTACTATAATAAAGTGTTTTGCATGCATTATAATATTTGCACATTTTAATAACTCATCTCTAGTAACTGATTTATTTTATCTTTGCCATGATGACAGTAAATAATATTTGACTAAATATTTTTTAAGACACTTCTATACAGCTTAAAGTGACATTTAAAGGCTCAACTAGGTTAGTTAGGTTAACTGTGCTGGTTAGGGTAATTAGGCAAGTTACTGTATAAAGATGGTTTGTTCTGTAGACTATCGAAAAATATAGCTTTAAGAGGTTAATCATTTTGACCTTAAAATTGTGTTTAAAAAGTAAAAAACTGCTTTTATTCTAGCCAAAATAAAACAAATAAGACTTTCTCCAAAAGAAAAAAATATTATCAGACATACTGTGAAAATTTCCTTGCTCTGTTAAACATCATTTGGGAAATATTAAAAATGAAAAACTAATTCAAAGGGGGGTGAATAATTCTGACTTCACCTGTATGTATAGTACAAAAAAAGTTGCAAATTGTTGATGTATACCACTAGATTCCTTGATATTCTTGTCTTGTGTTTCTGTCGGTGTAGCTCCTCTGGTTTCTGTTAAAATCAACACAAAATCCATATGTAGATGTTATGTAATTCATAAATTATTCAAATGGCACCGTTAAAACAAATGAAGCTTTGTAGCATATGCGTGTCAAGCATCTGTGTTTGCACATACTTTGGGCTTATAATAAAAATGGTAACACTTTAGAAACCAATTCTCACTATTAACTAGCGCATTTATACCAGCCTATTATAAAAGTATTGACTGTTTATTAGTACTTAAAAAGTGCATATTCTGAATGACCTCATTTTCAGGAGTTTATTTATAAACTAATTTCGAGAGGATCATGTGCTTGTGATTGCTTGCGGTCGGTCCTGCATTATTCAATTTATGATTCACCAATCAGACGATTCCTAAGCCACTATAAATACCCTAAGTTCCATATAACAGCCATCTTTGTTTTGAAGAATCCCCCCTTTCACCCATACTCCTCCTCCTACGCGAACACGGGGAGAACATGCAAACACCAACTGATTCAGCCGAGGCTCAAACTAGCAACCTTCTTGCTTTGAGGTGAAAGTGCTAACTACTGTGCAGCCGGTTTTCTTAATTTGTTAGTATTTGTCTATTTGTATGTGCTTCCGTAACTTGCAGCTGATTCGATCTCTCTAGGCCAGTGATTCTCAACCACATTCCTGGAGGAGCACTAGTTCTGCACATGTTGCCATGTCTTCTTAACTGAACACACCCGATTCAGATCATCAGCTCATTAGCAGAGACTAAAAGACCTGTAATGGGTGACTGACAAAACATGCAGTGTTGGTGGTCCTCCAGAAATGTGGTTGAGAAACACTGCACTGGGCCACCGTAAAAAGAGAGCTAAAAGACATTGCACATACTTCCACTATCAGATGTGTGAAAAGACGACTGTATCTTTCTCCCATGCAAAAGTTGTGGTGCTCTGAAGTTTTTGGACAGAAGCTTGTTGTGTTCAGTTTTCAGCGATTCCTCCAAGGCTGCGAGCTGATAAACAAAAAGAGAAGAAAACAGTCATCTAAATGCCTGATCTAAATGTTTCACTCTTTCTGTTTCTGATGAGATTTAAAGGGCACCTATCATGCAAAATCAACATTTGAAATGTGTGAAACGCCATAACCAGGTGCCATTGGAACCGGTATTCACCGGATCAAATCAGCATATTAATTTCGGTGCCTAATTTCGGTGCTGCAACTAGAACGTAAACCAGGTCGCACACCGGAAGTGCGCTAGGCGATGCCCAGCGTCATGCATTTTAGAATTCGCAAGTCAGCAGCTGTCCACGGACCCAGCCACGACTCATGAATGTTCCTATTTCTGCCATGCCACAGAGCGCCATCTGAATAGTTTTAATTAAAATAACAAGCGAATGTGCATGTCTGGTGTGTGATACTATCAACTGTCATGTGCGCGCTGTGCCGCGGCTCTGAGCGGCGTATGCGCTGTGTGATGCGCTTAAGAAGCCTAAAGGGGTCAATTAAAGCCACACATTTAAATTAAAGACAACATTAAAGCCGAGTCTGGTTTCTCTCAAGGTTTTTTTTTTTCTTCACTCTCCTATTGGTGAAGTTTTTTTCCCTCTCTGCTGTCGCCACTGGCTTGCATGGTTCAGGATCTGTAGAGTTACACATCGATGGATTTGCTCTTCAGTGCTTGGACTCTCAGTAATGACTTTAAACCACACTGAACTGAGCTAAACTGAACTGAACTTAAACACTTAAAACTGAACTACCCTGATCCAGCTACTATGACCATTTATGTGTAGCTGCTTTGACACAATATACATTGTAAAAGCGCTAAACAAATAAAGCTCAATTGAATTGAATAAGTATGCCTTGTGTCACAAAATCTCTAAATTTTTAATTCTAAACAGCTTTGAGGGATACGGATGTCAGGTGTTTGTTATTGTAGCTTATAGTAGGCAAAGCGCGCAGTACGGTGCATGCGGCGAGCGACTCACTTCATTAACACGCATGATCACGGATTCTGACACACCAACATGTAGCAGATGTTTTACAAAAGTTGCGTGTAAGGGAGAAACACGTCAAACTTCTGAAATGTGAGGGCTCATGGAATCAACTTAAAGGTGAGAAATGGACTGTCTTTAACAGCTTGTGACATCATCTGACATTATCTGAGTACGTTTACATGGACACCAATACTCTGATTTAAAGACAATACTCTGATCAAGATTCTACCACGCAAACAGTGATTTTTGATTATCTTAAAGGACCACAGACACAAACTGTGGAGAAAACATTTATAGCCTGGTGACGCAATGACAATGATGGATCTATGTGCTATAACATGTAACTGGGAATCATGAATGTAACACTCCAAAAGCAGCTCATGTGAACACCTGAATCATATTATTGTCTCATTCAGATTAAGGCAAATCATTAGATCACTGATGTCCATGTAAAAGTAGTCACAAGCCTCAAACCCAGAAAAAAGGTGCTCCCTGATTTTGATGACAGCCTTTCCACCACAGGTTGGTAGTAAGCTGATGTAATGTTAATAGCATAATGCAAATCTTGCATTCATGCAAACAAACAAATGATCAAAATAAATATATTAATGCAACTCCAATAAATAAAATATGAATTGATGTTTATTTTAAATGTATTATAAACATATTTATATTGTTCAATTATAATGATTCAATTCATTTAAATAAAAAATCACACAAAACGGCTGTCACAACCCTAGTCATAGGTGATTAAATCATTGTGTAATGTGTGAAACATTGCATAAGCAAATGCTAAGACAATTTCCTCATTTCCTCAGATTCACATGATATATATATATATAATTGTTTTTTTATTGATTAATTTTTTTGTCTAAAAAGTATGGGTTCAGGCACCATTTTGGCACTGGCATCGTTTTTTAAAGTATCGATTTAGCACCGGTATCGAAAAAAAAAAAAAAAAAAAGATACCCAACCCTAGTGTAGGTATAGTGTGTCCACTGATGGATTTAGATTTCATCCTTTCAATCTGTCCCAGCATGGATCAACATTTATCCATTTTCTCATAACTTTATTAATATGATTATTTGAATAAGGAATAAGGTTAACACATTGCTTAATATAAAAATGTTCAGTGCATTTGCCTGTCTCTTTGTTACTCTATTTTTAGGAGCCACCAAACTAGGTCAGAGGTCATGGAGACCTCGAGTGGAACTGAAGGTCTTAATAATTGAAAACAACTGAACAACTGTTTTAATATTTGTATTGCTATGTGTTAATACTGTCTAAAGTGATTTTGATATTATTATTATTATTATTATTATTATTATGTTTAAATTATGGTGGCTTGAGAAAGCCAAAATACTGTTATACTACATAAACGTATTATTCTTCCGTCTTCTTCCTCTTTTTCTGCTTCTTCTTCTTCTTCTTCTTTTTCTTAGACTGTTTTAAGAACGCATCTCCTCCTAGACCGTTCAAACTACAACAACCAAACTTACTCCAAACCTCCAAACTATACTCAAATAAGTTGCTATTTCTTTTCCAACTGATCCGACTTTCGGTTTTCTGACCCGGAAAACTCTGAAAAGTCTCATTGACTTAACATTGGACCAAACTTTGTGACCTCATAAATTTGCGTTAAACTGTCATACAGAATTTGATCATTTAATTCAGACTACCAATCTGCCAATCACTGATGACTTTTCAACTTACTAACCACACCCTAGCAACCACTTACAGCACCCTAGCAACTTTCCCATAGACTTCCATTGTAAAATAATCTGCCATTGACTTTACGTAGGACATACTAACAACATACCAATATGTACTTATAATATACTAATCTAAATTAGACACATGCTAACAAGATACCAATCCATACTAGAAACATACCAAACCATACTAGAAACATACAGTTGAAACCAGAAGTTTACATACACTGTATAAAAAGGCACATAACCATTATGTGACTAAACTTTTTCTCTTTTAGGTAGGTTAGGGTTATCACATTAGTTTCTGTTATGATTAATAGCAGAATAATAAGATAATAACTTTTTTTGAAAGTCAAGTTCACATCTAATAAGATTAATATGCCTCTGAAAAAGCTCAGATGATGATGTCAAGGTTTTGGAAGGCTCTGATTGGCTAATTGACAACATTTGAGTTAACTGAATTGGATTACAATTAGCGAAATTACACTGGGGGAAAAAATCATTTTTGGAGACATGTCCTGTGGTCTGATGGAACTAAAATTGAACTGTTTGGCCATAATGACCAGTGTTACATTTGGAGGACAAAGGGGGAAGCTTATGAGCCAAAGAACACAATCCCAACTGTGAAGTATGAGGGTGGCAGCATCATGTTGTGGGGCTGTTTTGCTGCAGGAGGGATTGATCCACTTCACAGCATAGATGGCATCATGAAGAAAGAACATTATGTAGAAATACTGACGCAACATCTCAAGACATCAGCCAGGAAATTAAAACTTTGCCACAAATGGGTCTTCCACACAGACCATGACCCTAAGCATACTGCCAAATGAGTTCAAATTTGCTTTTAAGGACAACAGAGTGAATGTTTTGGAGTGGCCATCATAAAGCCCTGATCTCAATCCTATAGAAAATTTGTGGGCAGAGTTGAAAAAGCTTGTGTGAGTAAGACAGCCAACAAATCTGACTCAGTTACACAAATTCTGTATGGAGGAATGGGCCAAAATTCCTTCAAACTATTGTGAGAAGCTTTTGGAAGGATACCCAAAACATCTGACCAAAATTATACAGTTTAAAAGCAAAGCTAAAAATGCCAAGGAAATGTATGTAAACTTTTGACTGTCTAGAAATAATACAAAATCCTCAAAAAAAAAAAAGAAAATAAATAAATCTCTTGCACTGTTCTGGCATTTAGCAATTGTAAATCATTTAGGTAATCCTAACAGACCTAAAATAGTAAACGTTTAGTATGATTTACCATCAGATGTTTTTTTTTTAAACTGGTTATGTTCCTTTTCTTAGAGTGTATGTAAACTTCTGGTTTCAACTGTACTAACAATATGCCACTCCATACTAGAACCATACTAACAAACATACTAACATGCTAATTTATACTAAATTCATGCTAACAACTTGCTAGTTTATACTAAAAGCATGCTAGCAACGTTAATTCATACTAGAACCATGCTAACAACTTGCTAATTTATGCTAACAACATGCTAATTCATACTAGAACCATGCTAATTTATGTTAGCAACTGCCTAGCAACTGCTCAGAACACCTTAGCAACCACCTAGGAACACCTTAGCAACCACTTAACCCCCTGTCAACTGCTTAGCAAGAAACATGCCAATCCATACTAGAAACCTATATATGCTCATCTATCTATGCCAAGTGTTTCAAGCTTCTTAAAAACTCCTTCAATTATTTTAACTTTAAAACTACTTCAAACTTTCAGACTAGGCTTTCTCAAGCCACCATACTGTTTCTTTACTTTTTTAGTTCTTTTTAAAGTGATTTCCTTTTTATGCAAAATAGACCTTGTGTGTAGTAAGAAGACAGCAGTCTGAAGGCTGTTTATACCAGTTTTGAAACTAGTTTGATAAGACAGCTGAGAGTATGAAGAAACAACCTTGGGTTTTTATAACAGATTGTCTCTTGCGTGTGGAAATGCATCCGATAGGTCAGTTCTACATGTCTGAGACTAGCTCTTAATTGTCTACGGGCGACCTGACCCAAGCCTCCTGTCGCCATTCCTATCGGGATTCAGATACGACCCCGCATTGACGTAAATATTTAGAATTGTCTATCTTTGTTTTAACCAAGCGGAACCTGTTACCTGAATCACACCTTTTCTGGTCTTGTGTAGAGAGTATAATTGTTATTGACTTGTGATTGTAAGCAGAGCGGCCAAGGAACTCATTGCAAGTGTTGAAGCTGGCTTCTGCTGATGAAGTAAACTTTATGTATTTATTTGAATCTCTTCTTCATCTGACAGACTGGTCATTCTTTGGGTTTAAACTGTAAATTATTCCTACACCACAGTCAAATTGGAGTGATATAATCACGTCTTTTTTTTTCTTGACTTTTAAGTTTTATCAATATCCCAATGATTCTCTGTTTCTTTGTGTCCGCTTTCTGTCTTTTTGCTGTGTTTATCTTGAGATCTGACTCTGGTTATCTTCCTCTAAAGCAGAATGTCCCAGGATTGGGTGGTAATAACCACCATTTGCATTTAAAGGCACACGCCCATAAAAAGCTACAATTCCCTATGACATCAAAATTGACATTTTCAACAGGGTATAATAAATGATCTGATGGGTATTTTAACATGAAACTTCGCAAACACATTCTGGAGACACAAAAGTTTTAATTTACATCTTTTTAAAAGGCCTACGTTGGAGCCCTTTAAGACTGAGGGCCCTATCAAACACCCGGCGCAATGTGGCGCAAGACGCGGCCCAATACTCTTTTGCTACTTTTAGCTCGGTGCGAGGGTCATTTTGAGGTGTTGCGCCACGCTGTTTAAATAGCAAATGCATTTGTGCTCAAATGTGCGCCCACAGGCGTTCTGGTCTAAAAAAGCAGGCGTGTTTTGGCGCGTTACTATTTTGAGAAACTGTAAATAGTCTGATCTTTAGACCAGAACAAAGTCGGTCTATTGTCTGCCGCAAAGTGCGCCTGGCTTACACACTACAAACAAGATGCAGAGCAAATATCTTTACATATGAAAAATATATAATATCTTAAGGATATATATATATATATATATATATATATATATATATATATATATAAGGATATATACAGAATATAAATATAAATGATTAAAATATTACAAAACATATTAATTTCTAGCCTACATGAAGATTTAAAAACCACTGCCTTACTTTCTTCATCTCGGGAGGCTTTTTCAGTTCATTCAATTTGCTTTTGTATAATGTTATTATTATTAGCAGTATTATTTATTGTATCCATATTTATATTTTTTTTTATTAAAAACAAGCTTAGATTTGTCCACCTGTCAAATTTTATGGCAGGTGTATTTGGAAATAACTCAGTATTTTGACGACACTTCGTTATTATTGTTCATTTATTCGTTTGCTAGAAATTAGAACTGATTTTAGAAATAGTTTTGAAACAAATCTTTGCACTTCACAAACAAAATTAATTATTTATAGGCTGATTGATGTCTGTGCATAAAGGTTTCCCTATCCACGAGAGCAAAAGCGAGAATGAACTTACTTTATGTCAAAATCCGCTAATGGCGCGACGCAGCTGGCTCTTAAAGGGAATGGGAGACGAGACTCTAATTGGTTTATTCTCAAAACACACCTATAACTCATTACGAAAATAAACTCAACCCTTTTAGAGCATGCGCCACGGCGCAAAGCGGATTTTCCCGTCCTCATATTAGCAAAAACGCATTCTGACACGCCCTGAAAGCGTTTGCGCCCTGCGTTTTGCACTCTGCGCATGGACCGTCAAAATAGAGCCCTGAGAGTCTAACCTGTCTTCTGGATACTCTGATGGAGTCATTGAAGAGAGTCCAGCTGACCGTCTGCAGACAAGGAGGGGTCGTCAGAGACCCGCTGTACCTATAAAACCTCTCCAAGCTGTTCGGCAGAAGGTGGCGCACATTAAAACCAGGAATCACAGTGAGCGACTCTGAAAGAAGACCATTAGATCAGGTTAGATGAATGTCTTCCAGCATCTTTTTATGTTGTTTCCCGTGTCTTACCCTCTGTGCTGACGTCTGATAAAGCAGACAGGATCTTTTCATAGTTGTCATTTTCATGAAGGCCAATCTGTTGGGAAACAGTCAAAAGGAAATGCTAACCAATGTATCGCAAAGACTTTGTAGGCAGTGGTCAAACCACATTCTGTTGGAAAACTTTATTGTAGTCATAAAAAGGCTTAAGGACTTACAGCTATGAATCCTCCTAACACTGCCAATCCATCAGCTTTACTAGCTGCCTCCGTCAGATTTGCGTATTTGGAGTTATAATGGACCACGTGAATCTGAGGAAATGAGGAAATTGTCTTAGCATTTGCTTATGCAATGTGTCACACATTACTCAATAATTTAATCACTTATGACTAGGGTTGTGACAGCCGTTTTGTGGTATTTTTTATTTAAACGAATTGAATCTTTTGTTTAACGGAAATCTAGGGAGGTGAAACATCTTTTTTATTGCTTCTTTTATCAAAATTTTAACTATTAATCACAAAACACAAACCAAACCAACAGACAATGCCTATTTTAACAAAGCAAAGCTAAAGAAAAACTGAATAAATTAATAAACAGAATACATACATACATAAAATATTATAATAAATAAATAATAGCATAATAGCAATAATAATAGTAAGTAAATAAATAAAATAAAATACACAAATTCAGTTATGACACACCATAACTCAAATTCAGCTTAAAGAAACATCAATAAAGTCCAAGTAAGGAGTCCGGACTTGATGAAAAGCCTTAGTGGACATATGAATGACACAGGTAAGGAATCCTAAGGGAATTATTTCCCTAATAATATTGTGCCACCCTTTTAAGGATGGGGGTTTCACTGATCCAGTTTATCAGTATATTTTTCCCGGCAGCGAAGGCTAAAATGTCAGATAAACGATTAGTGAATTTGTCAGGCAAACATCCAATCGGCAGACCTAAAATTAAAGACAATAGATCCAACTGTAGCTTAAGTCCAAACATGCGGCTTATAAAAGGGACCAATAAGTTTTAATAACATGACAATTCCATTAAAAATGAGTGTAATCTCCCATTTCCACCTTACATTTAACACGAAACATCTTTTAACATCTTACTGTAAATAGTTAGTTACTTTATTTTATTACATTGCCTTAAAAGCAGCAAGCAGACTTTATCTTTTTACTTTAAAAAGTGTGTAAACCCCTTGTAACTATACTTAAGTTTATTACTTAATCATTTTAAGGCTGTGGGCTCACTCACTTTTATGAAGAAAGTCAACTAATCAACAGCACTAATAGGCCTATGACTCTCATTCACTAATAATTCTGTATGTTTTTCACATTTATACTCACATTTAATTTATACAAACAAAAATTCACAAAACATGCAAAATTCGTCAAAACACAAGGTGCAGCAGGAGAGCGCAAGATGTGCACAGGGCAAATAAGTGAAGTTTATTTATAAGCTAATTTCGAGAGGATCACATGCTTACGATTGCTCGCAGCTGGCCTCGCATTATTCAATTTATGATTCACCAATCAGACGACTCCTAAACCACTATGTCACAGCCATGTCACCCTGTAGCCCAAGACTTGTTACTCACTGAAGCTAAGCAGGGCTGAGCCTGGTCAGTACCTAGATGGGAGACCACTAGGGAACACTAGGTTGCTGTTGGAAGTGGTGTTAGTGAGGCCAGCAGGGGGCGCTCAACCTGTGGTCTGTGTGAGTCCTAATGCTCCAGTAAAAGTGAAGGGGACACTACACTGTCTGTGGGCGTCGTCTTTCAGATGAGATGTTAAACCGAGGTCCTGACTCTTTGTGGTCATTAAAAATCCCATGGCACTTCTCGTGAAAGAGCAGGGGTGTAACCCCGGTGTGCTGGCCAAAGTCCCTCTATTTGCCCTTACGATCATGGCCTCCCAATCATCCCCTTCCACCGAATTTACTCTATCACTGTCTCTCCACTCCACCAATAGCTAGTGTGTGGTGAACGCACTGGCGCCGTTGTCCTGTGGCAGCTGTCGCATCATCCAAGTGGATGCTGCACACTGGTGGTGGTGTGGAGAGACTCCCCCTCATGATTGTGAAGCGCTTTGGGTGTATGGCCATACACAATAAATGCGCTATATAAATACACATTACATTACATTACATTACATTACAATATAAATATACCCTAAGCTCCATATGCATGAAGTTCTATAAATACCCTAACAGCCATCTGAGAGAATCCCCTCCTTCCACCCCTACTCCCCATCCTTTCCTATTTGGTTGGCTTGGTGGCCCAGTGGTTAGCACTGTTGCCTCACAGCAAGAACGTCACTGGTTCTAGTCCTTACCAAGCCAGCCGACATTTCTGTGCGGAGTTTACACGTTCTCCCCGTGCTCACAAGGGTTTCCCCCAGGTTCCCCGGTTTCCTCCCACCGTCCAAAAACATGTAACTTAAGTTAATTGACTAATCCAAAAAAAGACTTGTGCCAGCTTTAGGCCAAATCTGGGCCAGAATTCTTTGCTACCTAGGAGGTAAACAAGTGGAGGATGAGAAAATTATGACAGGCTTTTTATTTTTGAGTGAACTCTCTCTTGTATGTAAAGTAGGTTTCCAGAAAATTCTGCAAGTGTGAAAGCAGCTATAGGTCATTGAGAGGCATTGTGTTAAGCAGTGTGTTTCTCTGCTCACCTCCGCAGGGTAGTGTATGTTGTCTATGGTGTGCTCTGAACCAGGAACCTCTGTGGTTCCCCAGTGAAAGTGAAGCTGAGCTGCGACATAAACTTGATCAAATCCCCTCCTGATGCGCATGCTGCTGGGCAGACTCAACTGCACTGACAGAAGAACAGAAAACAGACACTTCAGACCTCTTTCATTCACCAGCAGAAGGAAAATAGAAGAGCTTTCATAGCCACAAAACGTAACAACTGAAGACTAATCATGAAAGGATGTCAATGGCCGCTGGTTTCCAAAATTCTACAGAGTATCTTGTTTTGTTTTCAAAGGAATTAAGAAGTTTATAAAAGTTGAGAATCGCCTGAGTGTGAGAAGGAATGTTTTCATTCTTTGGGGTGAATCCCTTTAAATTTGAAAAAAAAAAGGGGAAACAACTTATTTTTTGTGTGCACTGTGGTCATCTATCACAATATCATGTGTTGAAACTGACAACTTTGAATGGAAAAACACAACTACTGGAATAATAACAGCTGAATAATAATAAAAAAAAATATATATATATATATATTATTATTAGCCCCCTTTTGATTTTTTTTCTCTTTTAAATATTTCCCAAATGATGATTAACAGAGCAAGGAAATTTTCACAGTGTCTGATAATATTTTTTCTTCTGGAGAAAGTCTTATTTGTTTTATTTCAGCTACAATAAAGGCAGTTATTAATTTTTTTAAAAAACATTTTTGGGACAAAATTATTAGCCCCTTTAAGCAATTTTTTTTGATAATCTCCAGAACAAACCATTGTTAGACAATAACTTGCCTAATTACCCTAACCTGCCTAGTTCACCTTATTAACCCAGTTAAGCCTTTAAATGCACTTTAAGCTGTATAGAAGTGTCTTGAAAAATATCTAGTAAAATATAATTTACTGTCATCATGGCAAAGATAAAATAAATCAGTTATTAGAAATGAGTTATTAAAACTATTATGCTTAGAAATGTGCTGAAACAATCTTCCCTCTGTTAAACAGAAATTGGGGAAAAAAATAAACAGGGACCCTAATAATTCAGGGGGTAATAATAATTCTGACTTCAACTGTATATATATATATTGAACGTGTAGTGTTTGTTGTGAACGGGTCTTGACTTACATGTGTGTCCATTGTTGAGGAGGGTCAGAGAGTGTGAGCCAGTAAGATCGTAACCATCCAGCTGAATGGGGGGCAGTCGGGGCTCATGCAAAACCTTATGAGTGTCAATGTTGATCGGAGACTGAGATTTCCCACCACAGTGTTCAAATGCAGATAACCATGCGTCCTGATCTGAAGCACACAATGAAAAACATTAACACACAACAGCCATGTTTAGTTATTTAAAGTATTTAATTGTATTACTTTATTTAGATATTTAGTTTCCTTTATAGTGCCTTGTAGGAAACCTATAAAGCACATTTAAAGGAGCTTATTAATGGAATAATAATTGTTTGGTTTGAACGACACTACAATATGGTGTCCATGAGTGTTTTACTCTGAGCCTGAAGTGCCCTTTGAAGAGTGGTATATCCTGATTTTAATGCACTGTTAATTAATTATTTAAATGCTGCATTCATCTTTATTAAGCTGCGGTCAAACTAGAGTTTGTCCGTGCGAAATTCTGCCATACTGCGGTGCGAAAAGGGGCGGGAATAAACAAGATTATTAGACATTAAAAAAAGTCAGCGATTGCTCCATATTTTAAATTTCTGTCCAGAGAGGTCATGTTTTGATCCTCAATTGGTCTCACGCACTCAAGTGATGCGATTTCGCAGGTCAGAGTTGACGCATGACCCTGCGTTTCCGGTCTGATGCATTCGTGTGCGTATGAATGGAAGTCTATGGGAGGAAAAGCCCAGTGTGACCGCAGCTTTATTGTCTAAATTCAGTACACTAGATCAGCGGTTCTCAAACTTTTTTCATCAAGTACCACCTCAGAAAACAATTGTCTCTCCAAGTACCACCATAATGAGCAGTATTGAAATACAGTGGTGTAGTAGGCCCAGTAAAGCAGCTATAGCTCTGCACAGTTCTAAAAGGTGGCAGACTAATCACTATTATTAAGAAAATGTCTTATTGTCAGCCTGATCATAAATAGTTGGAACGTAAACACTGTACTGTGCTTATGTAAACAAACAAACTGAAAATGTCAACATTTAAATTAAAATGTTCTTTTAAAAGTTAAAAATGGTAGGTTAATGTTCGTAAAAAGTACAAAGAAAAGTTCTGTACTTAAATGTAAAGTATTAACATATAGTAGCCCATTCATGAACACCTGGAAATGTTGCCTGGACCTCAGAAACATAGGGTATATGTCATATAATAAATATTATTATATGTCATTTTCATATATAAATCATTTTTGATAAATTTGAAATATATGGAGCATATACATGACACATTTGATATCTCCGCATACCACTAGAAGGAAGCCTGCGTACCACTAGTGGTACACGTACCACAGTTTAAGAACTACTGCACTAGACCAACTAGCAGTGTATTCCGCACAGCTTCATAACACAATCATGTTATTGCAAGGATACTCATTAACATGTTTTATATCATCTAAGAAAATGACAGTTGAAGACAAATAATAATTATTCTATGTAAAATAATTATTTCTTATATATAACAATAATTTCTCAAGGGGACTAATAATATTGATATTAGCAGTTACCATGAAAAAGGAGCAATACATCAAAATTCTGGCATTAGGCAGTTTGCAGAGAAACTTGGTCTTGGGCACCAGTGGGCATTTCAGCACAATAACACACAGCAAAATTGCTGAAAAAATGATTAGCAGACTAAAATATTAAGATTTTGCAGTGGCCCAGCCAGAGTCCTGACTTAAATCCAATTGAGAATCCGTGGAAGGAGCTAAAGATCAGGGTGATGGCAAGAAAATCTTTCAACCTGACAGAATTGGAGCTCATCGCTAAAAATGAATGGGCAGAAATACCAGTGGAGACATGCAAAAAGCTGTTCAGCAATTATAGGAGGTGTTTAATTGCGGTAAAATCCCTTTTTTGTTGATCACTAAGAAGGGTATGAATAATTTTGGACATTTTAAACAACTTTTTTTTACATTCATTCATTTATTTTCTTTTCGGCTTAGTCTCTTAATTAATCTGGGGTCACCACAGCGGAATGAACCGCTAACTAATCCACCATGTTTTACGCAGCGGATGCCCTTTCAGCTGCAACCCATAACTGGAAAACATCCATACCCAAAAACTACGGACAATTTAGCTTACCCAATTCACCTATACCACATGTCTTTGGACTGGGTGGGAAATGGGAGCAACCGGAAAAAACCCACGCAAACACATGAGAGAACATGCAAACTCCACACAGAAACACCAACTGACCCAGCTGGGTCTTGAACCTGTTACCTTTTAACTTTAAGTTAGAATTTTCCTGGGGTTTTAATAATTTGGGGTTGGCTGTATATGTAAATATTGAATTATTATTATATACTGTATATCATTCCAAATTAAACTAAGTGAAGTTTATTTATAAACTAATTTCGAGAGGATCATGTGCTTATGATTGCTTGTGGTCGGTCCAGCATAAGTCAATTTATTATTCACCAATCAGATGATTCCTAAGCCAATATAAATACCCTAACTTCCATATAACAGCCATCTGAGAGAATCCCCCCTTCCACCCCTACTCCTCCTTTCCTAGATGAGTGGCACAGTGGCCCCACAGCAAGAACGATACTGGTTCTAGTCCTTACCAAGCCAGCCGACGTTTCTGTGCAGAGTTTACATGTTTTCTCCGTGGGTTTCCACCAGGTTCCCCGGTTTTCTCCCACCGTCCAAAAACATGCATCTTAATTTAATTGACTAATCCAAATCAGCACCATAGACATGCTCCCTAGTAAGTAGTCATCTAAGAGCAATTACTATCTGTTCGTTAGCTACTACAACAGGGGAGTTCTCGAGACCTACCTGAGCTCAAACTCCCCACTCACCCTGCAAATGGGAGGAAGCCCCGAGCTCGAGGATCTTATGAGCTCAGGGCTCTCTCCCTGAACTGCATGCCAAACAAGCTTTATAATCAATCATCAGCTAAGTGTGAACTCTTGAAAAGAAAAAGCAGGTAATGCAGTTTATCAGTGTATTGTACTAGAGAAACTCTATCCTATAGACATGTCTGCTTTGCTCCACTTGTAAGTGTGAGTTATATACAAAAATGTCAGGAAAAAAAATCTATGCTGAAGGTGACTCTGGGTAGTTACAATAATATATTTACCTTGGTAACCCCAGTGATGCTGATGAGAAGAACCTGTAAAAAGAAAAAAAAAAATATGTCAAGAAAACAAGGCATTGAGACTTGATTCTCAAACATGGTTTGTGTTGTAGTTGGATGACATTTAGTTATAATAGACATGTCTATGTCAGATATTTGCACATATGAGACTTACAGTTGAATTCAGAATTATTAGCCCGCCATAGTTTTTTTTCTTTTTTAAATATTTCCCAAATGACGATTAACAGAGCAAGGAAATATTCACAGTATGTCTGATAATATTTTTTCTTCTGGAGAAAGTCTTATTTGTTTTATTTTGGCTAGAATAAAAGCAGTTTTTAATTTCTAATAGCCATTTTAAGGTCAAAATTGTTAGCTCTTTTAAGCAATATGTTTTTTCGATAATCTACAGAACAAACCATTGTTATACAATAACTTGCCTAATAACCCTAACCTGCCTAGTTAACCTAGTTAAGCCTTTAAATGTCACTTTAAGCTGTATAGAAGTGTCTTGAACAATATCTAGTCAAATACTATGTACTTTCATCATGACAAAGATAAAATAAATCAACTATTAGAGATTAATAATTATTAACTATTAACTATTATGATTAGAAATGTGTTGAAATTATCTGCTCTCCGTTAAACAGAAATCGGGGAAAAAAATAAACAGGGGGGCTAAAAATTCTGACTTCAACTGTATGTTGCATGTGTATAGTTATGACTATAGCCTAAATAAATTGTAGGGTTTTAAAATCATAGGTTTTTCTTCATACTTAAATCAATAGAATATTAAGTAAATATAATGTTCCAGGAAGATATTTAGTATGTCCTATATTAAATGCAGACTATCAAAACATAATATGCATTGCTAAGAACTTAATCTGGACAAATTTAAAGACCATTTTCTCTAATTTCAGATTTTTTAAAATATCTGTATCTCAGCCAAATACTGTCCTTTACATTCATTCAATTTCCTTTCGGATTAGTCGCTTATTTATAAGGGGTCGCAACAGTGGAATGATCCACCAACCATTTCAGCATATGTTTTACACAGTGGATGCCCTTCCAGCTACAACCCAGTACTGGGAAACACCCTTACACTCTTGCATTCACACGCATGCCAATTTATTCAATTCAATTCACCAATAGCGCATGTCTTTGGACTGTGGGGGAAACCGGAGCACCCAGTGGAAACCCCCGTAACACAGGGAGAACATGCAAACTCCACACAAAAACGCCAACTGACCCAGCCAGGACTCATTAGTATAAATGTCTATTATAATTTCCTAAATGGACAGCGGCGACGCAGTGGTTTGAGCCTCTGCTGGCATTTCTGTGTGGAGTTTGCATGTTCTCCCTGCGTTCGGGTGGGTTTCCTCCGGGTGGTCCAGTTTCCCCCACAGTCCAAAGACATGCGGTACAGGTGAATTGGGTAAGCTGAATTGTCAGTAGTGTATGGGTGTGAATGAGTGTGTGTGGATGCTTCCCAGAGATGGGTTGCGGCTGGAAGGGCATCCCTTGTGTAAAAACCTACTGGATAAGTTGGCGGTTCATTCCGCTGTGGCAACCACGGATTAATAAAGGGACTAAGCTGAAAAGAACATGAATGAATGAATGAATGAATGAATGAATGAATGAATGAATGAACTGCTTCTGTGGTTCAGAGTCATATATTGTTTCATTGTTGTATTATTTAACTTTTTAAATGCTTCTGATATTGCTGTAACTGCAGTAACAGCAAAGAGTTTTAGACTTTTAAAGGAACAGTTCACCCAAAAACGACATTTTTGTCTTGCAGAAAACGGAAAACTTCTAACCGTTGACTTTCATAGTATTTGTTTTTCCCTACTATGGAAGTCAATGGTTACAGGTTTTCAACTTTGTTCCAAGCCTCTTCTTTTTGTTTTTCAACCCATAAAGGTTAGGAACCACTTCAAAGAGAGTAAATAGTGAGATGTTTTTCATTTTTGGGTGAAATATCCCTTCAAGTTCAATAACAAATGTCTTTCATTCTTTTTTCCCCACAGATTCTGATTACAGGGCACAATATCAATACCTACATCCACAGGATTTCTTGCACGATGCAATGTTTATCCTTAAAACCCTTTGACCACAGTAAATGAGCATGGTTGATTCAGCATTGTTATCATCACTTTATCTTCACCACTATCAGTTAACTCAATAAAGCAACAACATTTTAGAGATACTCATCAGTCATCCCGCTATGTGGATGAAGCAAGATAATAAAACTCTGCCACATTTAACCATTTCTGAGAAAACTGTACAAGCTTTTTAGAGGCACTCGCTGGAAATCTACATGTTTTTACATGTTTAAGAACAGCTTAACAAAATTTGTGAAGTATTTTGCATAAGCCTAGCTCAATAAAAGTAAAACCTTAAACTCAAACACTTGAACAAGTAATTATGATTCATATTATGACCTTAGGGCGACGCAGTGACGCAGTAGGTAGTGCTGTCGCCTCACAGCAAGAAGGTCGCTGGGTCGCAGGTTCGAGCTTCGGCATGGTCAGTTGGCGTTTCTGTGTGGAGTTTGCATGTTCTCCCTGTGTTCGCGTGGGTTTCCTCCGGGTTCTCCGGTTTCCCCCACAATCCAAAGACATGCGGTACAGGTGAATTGGGTAGGCTTAGTTGTACGTAGTGTGTGAATGTGTGTGTGAATGTTTCCCAGAGATGGGTTGCGGCTGGAAGGGCATCCGCTGTGTAAAAATGTGCTGGATAAGTTGGCGGTTTATTCCGCTGTGGCAACCCCGGATTAATAAAGGGACTAAGCTGACAAGGAAATGAATAAATTAATTATGACCATAAACAGTTGTAACGAACAAACGTTACATGCTTTAATTGTTGTTTTAGTTTCTTGTGATGCGAGAAAAACTGGTTGCAATATTACTACAGGCCACTAGGTTGCACTAGAGGGGAGTGAGAACTGGATATATTCCAGCTCACCATAGAGCAAGTGAGTCGTGTTTGGTAGAGGGAACCACATGGTGAACTGAGGCTACCGACCCACTCCGGTTCTGATTGTTTTTGAGAACATTATTGTTGCTGCTCAAATACAGGACCTGTTGTCCTAGAGATGTTCAGATGAGGTGTTTTGTTGGTGCTTTTCAATGGACTGCAATGATTTGGTTTCAACGTTCTTTATGCTTCTCATTGGCAAATGAACTATATGTGTACACGTGGAATGACGGTCAGTGACTCTTAAATTCATCATACTACCGTTTTCCCAGTGTGAGGAAGTGGATCTTATTGCATCGCACTCAAATCCATCTACGCAACATTCACCCAACTATCTATATCATTTACAAAGACTGTTTACATTCAATGACTGCTTGGTTTTGGTTATTGATTACTTTTGCTTGTGTGGACTAAATACTGTATACACATGTAGAGAAATTAAACAAGAAGGAAAAAGGGAAAAACAGGCTTGTGAAGTTTATTTTAATTTCAGTATGTGTGAAATAAAAATTCAGTGAACTCCCTCAGTGTAACATCTTGCATGCATAGAGGTGGTGTTACAGATGGCGCCCGAACAGGGACATTCGTGAATTGTATTTTACGAAGTCCTTTGAATTATAAAGAGATATTTCACTGATACTGAAATTCTTCACAAGCAAATATTACAAATTTACAATGGAGGACAGAGCAGCTAGTGTGGATTATTCAGATGAAGCCTTTACTCATCTCAGAGATCCTGTAGCTAATCTTATAGATACTTTTAGTGAATTGTATCTAGATTCAGAAGAAGAAAAAGAAAGTAAAGATGAATCTCCACAGCAGGGACAGGAAGACATTAGTAAAATTGATGACTTTCCATCACCACCCCCACCCCTTGACTTTCATGATGATCAATTACAGTTTGAGAATGATGAACATGATCAGCGTATACATAGCATTGAAAAGCACTTGGCTGATCTTGAGCATAGAGTAAGCAGTTTTGTCACCGCTGAGACACTGAATGCAAATTTAAGAGCATGTGAAGATAGGATTAACTACTATGTACAGAGGGAGTTAGATCGTGTTCAGCAAAAATGCTATGCTAAAGTTGAGGATTTGAGTAGGAGTATTGTGGATTGCTTGAAGCGTAGAGACAAACAGCTAGAGCAACAATTTAAGGCTATCAAACCGATCATGTCCACTCCTATGCATTCCAGCATAGTTACTTCTCACAAAACATCTCAAACACCCTCTAGAATTGATGCAACTCAAGACACCACAAAGCAAGGCACTTACCTTTCTCCATCGTCCTTCCCAACCAGTATTAAACTTGAACTGCCTACTTTTGGAAATGCAGATTCAGAAGACCCCCTTGATTTCATTGAGCGGTTTGAAGAATATGATGAACTTCGACCTCTACATCATGAAGAGATGTTAGCAGCTTTATCTGTAAGTCTTAAAGGTACAGCTAAGAGTTGGTGGAAGGCTGAGAAGAGCAGTATTACAGATTGGTTGTCATTCAAAGAAAAATTCCTTTTTTCATTCTTGAATGAAGATCACAAGGAAGTGGCGGCTCAGAAATTGGCTGATTACAAACAAAAAGTCAATGAAAGTATAAGAGACTATGCTTTTAACTATAGAGCAATGTCACTGAAAATAAACCCTGTAATGTCTGAATCTGAATTGGTACAAGCAACATTGAGAAACTGTAATCCTAGATTGGCTTCATTATTAAGAGGGACAGTAAAAAGTATTGATGATCTGGTTCGTCTCGGTACACAAATAGAGAAAGATTGGTCAGAAAGTAGGAAAAGATGGAGTCAAGGAAAGGAAGAGGATCAAAAGAAGAAATCTTCAGCGGTGAAAGGACAACCAAATAGGCTCATGCTTATTGACCCTTGTTTGTGTGATAATGTACTACAGGCTCCTGTTATCTTGAATCACTCATACTTCAATGCTGTAATTGATACAGGAAGTACATTTTCTTTGCTGTAGAAGAAGGTTTGGGAGAGATTGAAGAAAAAAGATGAGCAATTGACTAGAAGTGATCAAACGTTCATGCTCGCAAATGGACAGAG